CTCCCTCTGACCCTCCCCCCTCTCATGTGCTCTCTCTCATTCTCTCTCTCTCAAATAAATAAATAAAATCTTTAAAAAAAAAAAAAATACCGGAGGGAATGACCTGCTTTGAAGATTTGCCGTAGAATTTACAAGACATTCTGGTTTGTTTGAATTTCATTTTCTATTCAATCTGTATTCCAACCTCTCAGATCCACCTATTTCATAAATCCAGACAGTTCTACACAGCACGGGTCATTTCTGAGGGCTGCAGGATGAGATTAGCAAAACTCAAAATAATCTAATCAGCCAGCTCTTGAAGTAATCAATTAGGATCCAAGCACCTGCCCACAGTCCCATAATAGCCACGTGATGCCAAAACAAGGCCTGGACTAAGGGCAGATGGAAGGCAAATCACAGGTCCCTGGCGAGGGTAGAGCATGGGATGAGGGAAGAGCATGGGACGTGGGGGGCACAATCCCTGGCTCTGGGCAAATTGCTTAATCTCATGCAACTTGTTTCCCAATTGTAGTACTTACCTCACTATTGGTGAGATAAAATGACTTAACATACTTGGTCTTTAGAACAATGGCAAGCACACAGTAAATGTTACCATTACTTAAGTGAATGTAATTAACACATACTCAGAGGAATTCAAGTTTAATCCCGTTAAAATCTCACCATGCAACTGCAACTGGTCGTTAGTAAGAATTATTCTTACTAGGTAAGACCCAAAAAAAGGTTTATACCTGACTCATATTTGACTCAACCTATCACTGTTATCCACTAAACTATTCACCTGACCTTTGCACAGGGATTTCTAAACGAGGAGTTGCTACTGAATAAACCTGTACTTCCCTACCTTAGAATGAGGGCACAGGGGCGCCTGGGTGGCTCAGTTGGCTAAACGTCCAAATCTTGATTTCTGCTCGGGTCATGATCTCTGGGTCATCAGATCAAGCCTCCTGTCGGGCTCCTCGCTGGGAGTGGAGCCTGCTTAAGATTCTCTCTCTCTGCCTTTGCCCCTCCCCAATCATGCTCGCTCTCTCTTAAAAAAAGAATGAGAGCACAGACTGATTATCTTTCCTTATTTTTTTTTTAAGATTTTATTGATTTGACAGAGAGAGAGAGAGCACAAGCAGGAGGAGCCGCTTCCTGCCAAGGGGCTCGACCTCCAGGACTCTGGGATCATGGGCCGAGCTGAAGGCAGAAGCTTAACCGACTGAGCCACCCAGGTGCTCCCCATCTTTCCTTATTTTAGCAGAAGCAAGGCTACCCAGCTGCAAATGATACTACAAAATGCTTCCCCATCCTCTCCATGTTCTAAGTCAAACTAAATCCTTACGGTCTCATAGTAAGTTTTTCCGAGTGTTGATCGGTTCAAACCAAGGAATATATTTAATTGGCAATTTTTAGCCCAACCATTATGGGAGCTCCGCAAACTTTTTAGTTCTAGGGGAAAATTCCTTCTATTTAGGGAAGAACAACACAACAGATGTTAAGATTCGGCATTTTTTCAAAGAGAATCTGAGAATAACTCAAGGATTTTATTATTATTTCCCCATAAAGAAGCAACAAAACCATCAATCTCTGAACTCCCTCCAATACTGACCACTGACCAGAGGTGGCGGGTGGGGGCCTTACACACACCCAGGGAAGAACTGTCTTCAAAAGGACCAAAGTGTCTGCCCCATAAGGGTCTGGGGCAAAGAAAACCCCAAGCAAAACGTCGAGTTGACCGGTAAGGAGGGGCCGGGGCACCGGCAGGACCTAAGGACGGCGGGAGGGAAAGGGGGGCAGAACCAGAACGCTGGGCGGGCGGGGGGGGGGCTCGGGCGGAGGAGGGGAGGTCTTGGGGACGCCAGGGTACAACAACCGCAGGGCGCGCAGGAGCCCCAAACTCGACGACCGGCGGTCAGGACCAACCGTCGCCCTCACCTCGACCGGGTAGAATTCGCGCGGCAGCACCACCTGCAGGTCCAGGAGCAGAGTGATGGGGACGTGGGAGAGGAAGTAGAGGCCCAATAGCCACTCCAGGCCGCGCCGGGCGCCCAGAGCCCCCATCATCCGTTGGTTACGCCGGGCGGGAGCTGAGGCCGCGCTCGCCGGGACCGCCGACGTGGGAAGAGGGCCCGTGGCCGCACAGCGTCCCAGGACTCGGCGCCCCGGCCGCCCGCTCCGCCCCCTCCGCCCCCTAGGGGGCTACGCCGGCCACTCCCATTGGCTGGCTGCGAAGCTGCGGCGGGAACGGCGCTCGCCGCAGAGCGCGCCCATTGGCTCGTCCGTGTATAGCGTGTCGAGGCGGCGCCCCGCAGACCATTTCTATTGGCCGCCGGGGGCGCCGCGTGGAACAGGGGCGGGCTCCTCGCCCGCCGCGTGGGACGGCTGGCTGGCGCGCAGCCTGCGGACTGAGCGGGCGTGCGGGGGCCTGACGCCCGCCGGGCTTCTAGCCGCCGACTCCGTGGCGCTCTCTGGTCCCTTTCGCTCGGTACTCCGTTCATTCACCGCAAACCTAAAGCGCTGACTGAGCGGCTCCTGTGGGCCGGGCCACGGGCGCTTCTGGAGGTGAGCTCGCAGTGCAGCGGAGGTGCCGCAGACCAGGGCCAGCCGCACAGTGCGTTGTGATCCGCTCGGTGGCTCGGCATTCACGGGCCGTGGGCACAGCGGCAAGATCCCTGTCCCGCAGGCATTGAGGGGTCCCGGGGCCTTCCGAACGTTGCCTAGGAGGCAGCCAGCCTCAATTAAGCAAGAAGCACAGGGATATAGTAAGACGATGGACAGGTCTTGGTGATTGGCTGTGAAGAAAGAGGGAGGATTTATTCATTCTGCAAATACTGATCTTTAACTCTCTGCTGGGCCCAGCCATTCACTAAGCAGTGGGACACAGGAGAAGTGAGTTGAAGAGAAAGTAATCCGTTTCTGGCTGCGTTGACAATCAGCGGTCTCTGCAGCATATGAGTGGAGAAGTCTAGGAGGCAGTTGGATGAACCTGTCTAGGGATGTAGGTTTGTGTGGCAATAGCGTGTGATGGGAGTTGAAGTGTTGAGAGCAGAGGGCCAGTAAGAGGTCTTAGAGGAGCTCCAGCCTCAGGGGTGGTGTGAGGAGGGGGCTGAGACACAGGTGCACAACAGGAGTGTGATGTCACAGAAGCATGGGTGTGTATGTGTGTGTGTGTGGGGGGCTCAGTCCTGTCGGAGCAACCCTGAATGGCCCCCGTGGTGGCCCTGTGAGAGCACCTGTGGTGTGGTGGAGGCAGGGCCAGATGACAGCGGGGCAGCCTCTGGTTAGGAGGAGAGGAGAGAGCCGGGGGAGTAGCTTGAGGGAGATGTGCCCCATACAGGGCTTACTTATTCGTTTCTCAGAGGGGAGAGACTAGAACACTTTCTTGTTTAGATGCTTTTTTAAGTTTCTGGGTCGGGGGAGAGGTTGTCCCTATAGGAGGAAGGGAGCAGGAAATGTGGCTCAAGGCCCCCAAGGGCTGGAGAGAATGGAAGGATTAAGGTTAGCTCAGAGGAGCTCTGTGCTCCCCAGGGCCGGCCTCTTGGGACTGGGCCAGAGAAACTGGTGGCAGTGTAGAGGGCCCAGCTGAGGTGGGTGACCATGGATCTGGAGGCCCGATCTCCTAGGCTGTGTGCTTTTCTCCACGGTGGGGTCTGCTCAGCAAAAAAGGCTGTTGACTTATGCAGGGTTGGGGTTCAGAAAGACTGGTGATTTTGAGGCATTGGATGAGAGAGCGATTGCAAAGAGGGAGCATGCGCTTCAAGCTGGATAGGGAGGAGGCCGCGTGGGACCAGAGGGGCTGGCAGCCTGGGAGAGCGTGGGAAAGGGAATGGGTGTGAGGCCAAGGAGGCAGGGTCGGCATGGTGGGCGTCACTGGATGAATGGGCCGGAAGGCGGGGAGATTAGGACAAGGGGACACAATGTCACAGGGTCAGAATTCCTGGTGTCGGAAGAGATTCTGTGCAGGGGAAGGTGTGGCTGAAATGGAGAGGAGGGGGAAGGTGTTTGGAGATGGGGTCAAGGGACAGAGAGCCAGGGCGTGCGATGGATGGACGGTGAAAACCACATAGGATGATGGTGGTGGCAGTTGGGTGGAGAGAAGGCTGTGAGCCTGTTGCCAAGAGGAGTAACCAGGAGAAGGTGGGCACGGGCTGGGGCGTGGCTTAAACCTCAGAGAGTGGAGGGGAAATGGTGAGCTTGTGGCCTTGGGGAACAGGGAGGCCGGTTACCCCACCTCCTAACCCTCAGGTCAGGTGTGTGAACAAATGAACGGCCTCCACTGGAGAGGGCTGTGGGGAAGCCGAGACCTGGGAGGGCAGGGAGCCAGGTGTCCGTTCCTGCAGCAGGTGAAGGCTGAGGGTGTGGAGGACTTTGGGCTCTGGAGAGGAGGGGGCTGTTCACTAGGGAGGATGGCGGGACAGAGCCCCTGGCAGGAGAGCATAGCAGGGGAGGGAGGTGAAGCTTCCTTCCAGTGTGGTGTGCAAGGGATGAAGGGCACTCATGGCTGAACGCAGTCAGAGCACAGAGTTCTGGCGGCCCAGGGCCTGTCGGGGGCAGGTGGAGCCCCCCTACACACACACACACACACACACACACACTCCTACACCCACTCCGGAGGGGCCTGGCAGCAGGGTGCTCGGCCCGGGCCCCAGCAGTGGCTTTCAGCTGCACCGCGTGCTGATTAGAACTGCTTGCTGGGGGGCGGGGGAGGGCGTGTGGGGCCCCGAAGCTGGGGTTTGCCCAGGGAATGTGTAAGTGTACGGCTGCTGATGTGACTGATCCTTGGCAAACCTCGCACCCGGCCAAGTTGGTTATCTGTAGATAAAGACTTGGAAGGCCAAGCACTTTCCCTGCAAGGGTTTTCTATCCAAAAAAAAAAAAAAGCGTGCAGCTGCTGCCTTATGTTTGAAATTCCTTTAGTGGGGGAACTGCAGCTCTTCACTTGAGGTCAGATAAGTGGTAGAAGGCAAATGGCCCTGGGGAGGAGGGAGGAGGGAGGACGGCTCATCAATCCACAGAGTCCCCCACCCAAAGCAAGGGTGAAGTGAAAGACTGACTTGTAAAAGGGGGGGGGGCGTTCTCCAAGCAGTTTCCCTGTCTTTCTGAGTGAGATGAGGCAATGTTTAGCACCTTTTTTTTTTTTTTAAGATTTTATTTATTTATTTGACAGAGAGAGAGACACAGCGAGAGAGGGAACACAAGCAGGGGGAGTGGGAGAGGGAGAAGCAGGCTTCCCGCGGAGCAGGGAGCCCGATGCGGGGCTCGATCCCGGGACCCTGGGATCATGACCTGAGCTGAAGGCAGACGCTTAACGACTGAGCCACCCAGGCGCCCCTGTTTAGCACCTTTTGAAAATGATTTGTACTGTGATGAGATGGACGCCGTTAGCCCAGTAGTGCTGGAAGTGGAACCCTAGCTGAGAGGTGCTCAGAGGAGCACTCAGAGGAGTTCCTGTTTGGCAGCAACTGTAGAGTTCTTTCCTCTGCTTTCGTTTCACTTTTCTCTCTCCTTAAAACTCACCCACACTTCTCGCAGCTCCCACCCCCCCTTCCCTGCGTATCTGAAGGCCCAAAGGCCCCCTCCCCAGCTGGTCTCTGTTTGGTGGTGCTGCTGCCGTCTCTGAGCCTTGGCGGCGTTCTCTGGGACACGTCTGTTCCTCTCACTCTGAGCCACACTGATCTGACTCTGTGTCTCCACACACCTTTCCTGCTGGACTGTGGGTTCCATATCTGCCATTTCACTAACACAAAGCCGGAGTCATTGTTGACTGAACTGTGTACGAAAGCCTCCTGGCTCGTGGACACTGCCACCTGCTAATGGAAAATGCTAAGACCTAGGAAGCCACTGTGGCTCTAGGATCTGCAGATGGCTTCACACCTCAAAGCCCAAACCTTATACATTCATTAACAAAAGCTAAGATTCTGGTGGTGCTGGAGGCATAGCAAGGGGGCTGTGGGAGGGGAAGATTCAGAATGATCTCTCTTGAGATCTGTGGGTTTTGTGGAGTTTTGAGTGATTACCTCCTTTTCATGTCCAAGACCCCGTGAACGTAGATGGAGGGGCAGAGTGGGTGCAAGTTAGTTCTCGAAGACTTTGTTTAAAATTTGGATATTTTGTTGTTCATGGATCTTTTGCATTAATTTTTATTTTTATATTTTAAAGGATTTATTTGAGAGAGAGCAAAAGCGAACACAGAGGCAGAGGGAGAAGCAGACTCCCCGCTGAGCACAGAGCCAGATGCGGGACTCGATCCCAGGACCCTGCGATCATGACCTGAGCCGAAGGCAGATGCTTAACCGACTGAGCCACCCAGGCGCCCCTTAATTTTGATTTTTTAAAAAAAATACTGCATTAAGATATTATCTATCCTGATTACTGAGTTTTTGGTACCACCTAAGTTTTGTGCCTTGGGGAATATCTCCCTCACCTCACGCTTGTCCCAGCTCTGGTTGTCAGGTAGGAGTGGAGCTAAGTTTGATTTGGGGAGGAAGGGTCAGATTAGTGGGTCTGGAAAGCTAAGAGTGCATTAGGTTTGATGTCAGGGCAGTAGACAGTGGGAGATCTTGAGCAAGGCAGATTGGGATGACAATCATGTTGCAGGAAGATGCGTCTGGCCCTAATGCGCAAGGTGGACTGATTGATGTGTGGGAGAGGGCTGGAAGCAAGATCCTGGAACAGTTAAAAAAGGAAAGAGCGGGAGGTATTAGGGTCAGGCTTTTTTTTTTTTCAAGATTAGATGGGTTTCAAATACATCTGGTGGGGGAAGTCAAGGGGCCCATGTAATGGGAGGGTTAACATTGCTCGCTTATCAAGTGCCCACTATATACTACAGCAGGGGCTGGCAAACTTTTACTGTAATGTAAAATGTACTGTAAATGGCCAGACCATAAATATTTTAGGCTTTGTTGGCCATGCCATTTATTATGTGAAAGCAACTACAGAAAATATGTATATGAGCAAATGTGGCCATGTTCCAATAAAACTTTATTTACAAAAACAGGCACTGGGCCTGATTTGACCCATGGTGGTTGTAGTTGGCTGATTCCTGCTCTAAGGTATTGTTATCTCCATGGTCAAGGCCAGGTGGCCATAGGTTCTAGTTAGTAAGTAGAAAGCAAGCATGGAGGGAGTATATCCATCATACTAAGGCCTAGGCCTGGA